TTTCTTCACGGTCTCAGTTCGCCCCCCCCCCCCCCCACCACCAAAAAGAAAAAAAAACACAGGCTTAACTCTTGCCTCTCCCACTTGTTCTGAAAGTTTTAAAGAAGTTTGACCTTGCTTTGCTCTTTCTTCTTGGGGATAGGGGTCACAGATGCTGATCAGGAAGGGCACATAGGCCTCGGCAGTGGGTGGTAACAGTGGGCAAATGTGATTCTGACACCTTAGAAGCCATTATTAAGCCTTGATTAAGCAGGTAGTGGAGAGGGAGCCGCCACCAGGCTGCTGATGGTGCCCTTAGCTGTGAAGACGCTAAACCAAGGCCCTGGCCTGTGTGCCCTTTGCTAGAGACTAGCCTCCAGTCCAAATTAATTGCCTTGGTTTTGAGGCAGACACAGTTTATTTGGTTTGCGACTCTGAGGTCTGGTCTTCTGTTCAGTTTTGTTAGCGTGATTTTCCCAGGGGCTGTCACAGAAGGAGGGGTTCGGAGCATGAACACGTGTGGCCTTTCAGCAGGGACGTTAAGAAGGGACCAGGCAACCACCTAACACTCCTCCCCTGTCACAGCAGACCTTAAGGTTACCTCTTCTCTCCATCCGTGCATCAAAGAATACAAAAAGTGTGTGTCCCCCTGGGTCAACTGGTCAAAAACTCAACTAGCATCATTCTCCTGCTGCAGTGCGATGGAAAGTCACTTCTCACGGGGGCTTTATCCCTTCTCTCCCCTCCATATATTGTTAAATAAGGAATGTGTCTGCTATGGCTACCTTCTGTTGAGCCTCAGCTAGAGGCCCGGCCCTTCTGAGTTGTTGCTTCATCTCCCCCACACAACCAGGCCCGACAGAGACCTCAGGCTCTCTGCTATTCTTTGGGGGAATTGGATGGGAACTGCATGGCCAAGTGATGTGTGTAAAACCAGACAGCTAATTAGAAGCCCTAGCACTTAACCCTGGGTTTCTCTGTCTGCTGAATCCATGGTCTTGTCAAAACACCAATTTGCGTCCTTCACAGACACTGGAAGGGCAGCCACTGAGCCCGGGACTGTGGCTATGTGCAGATGCAAGAGCAACACGTAGGGTGTCCTTTGCTCAGTTTGGGCGAGTTGCCATGGTAACCTTACAGGGAGCTGGGAGCGCACAGTAGGACCATTACAGTCCCATTCAGTTCCATCAGACCTGGCATCTCACCTCGAGGCCTCTGCTTCCTTAGAAGATGGGGGTAACGATAATGCGTTGGTTCTTAAGGCGGATTACATGCCACGGAGCCTTCCGCAGGCCTAGCGGAGTCAGGTGCATAGTAATTGTCCAGTCCCCTTGATGAGGGGCACACTCAAGTAGCTTTCAAAGACCTTAGCATGTTCAGAGATTGTGTGAGTTCCTCCGATGAAGGATAAGGTAAGTCACACCCTAAAAGCAGGATGTGTATGGGGCTCAAAACTCCGCAGCCCTGCAGCAAGGAGCCCGTGGTGCCTAGGGGGTCCTCGCACAGCATGGCTCTGGGTTCTTGTTTTCTAGTTATTACCATATTTAAGGGTAAAGTGGAGGAGGTGGAGCTGCCCGTGGAGAAAGTGGACATCATTATCAGCGAGTGGATGGGTTACTGTCTGTTCTATGAGTCCATGCTCAACACGGTGATCTTTGCCAGGGACAAGTGGTTGGTAAGTGGTCCGCATGCTCCCCCCGCGTTGCTCTCATGGCGGTCTTGCCATATTTCCCTCCCATAGCTTCCCGCCTGGGAGGAATAGGAGGACTTCAGAGAGGAATGGGCTAGAAGAGCGCTGTCTGGTGGCGTCCCCTTCAAAGCATAACTGCTTCAGGGCAGCAAGTAATCAACCCTGGTCCAGCATGCCCCGCTGTCAGCATGCTTCATCTCGGGAGGTCTAACTTCATCCCCTGTGGCTAGAGCAGAAAGTCATATCTTTCAGCCTCTTGTTAAGGCTGCCAGAGCCGGGGGTCCTGGCTATGGCTTCACCAAGCCACAGGCTGGTTCTCTGTAGCTCCTTGATTTGCCTTCGGCCTCCCTGTGTCCTGTCAGCTCCACCTGGTCTCCTCAGATTCCCCCTGCTCAAAATAAACACAGAGGGTTACTGCCATGTCCGGCCAAGCTGTCAGTCCACTAAGTAGGAATGCTGGCTAAGGGGGTGCTTGTCTGGTGACTCTATGTGCAGTTCAAAATGTGATGTCTTTGTCAGGTGACTAGATTACGAGACCCATTTCCCCACAATTCATCAACAGAAACCTGGAGGGCTTATGTTTCCAGACCGGGCAGCTTTATACGTGGTAGCAATTGAAGACAGACAGTACAAGGACTTCAAAATCCACTGTAAGTCACTTTATGGTTCTTTGTTGAACTTCTGTTGGGTATCGGGGGTGAGAGAAAGTTGGCAGGGTGGACAGTTGGTATCCTGAGAGAGTTTATCTGTGACCCTTTGGGATTCTTCTATGGAGTCATTCTCTCAACTCCCAAGGGAGGGAGGTCTACAGAGTATACAGAAACAATGTAGCTGGTAAAGGGGAGTGAGAATGGAGCATGGAACCCGGGCAGTGGGGGTGTTTGTGCCAAAATTAGCAGGGCAGGTGACTTGGAATGTGGGGTTAGGTGAAGCAGGCTTTCCACCAAGCCAAGCATTTTGAAACCTGCCTCCATGCCTATAAATTGTTTAAAATCACTGTGACTCTGCATCACATTAGGTAAAATATGGATTCTTCTCCAAGGTTCCTTTAAGGAGTACTTGTGATGAAATGGGGGAGGGATGGAGACTCTCAACAACTTAGATAGTGTGGTGTGGTATAGTGTGTGTGCGCGTTGGGGGGCGGGGCAGGGGCTCATATGTAAATATGTGTCCATAATGTCTTACAAGTTAGAATAGTGTCTTCTTTCAGGCAAAATGGCTCTATGTGGTGCCGTATTCCTACAGTCCAGCACTCAGGAGACTGATGTAGGAAGATCATAAGTTTGGAGCTAGCCTGGGCTACATGTCAAGCCCTCCATATTTCTCTCTCTACACCACTTCAAACAAAAGAAGCAGATATGGTAGCTCATTCCTCTAATCCCAGCATTCGGGATAGTGGGGGAGACAGGAGGATTATCTCAAGTTCAGTATCAGCCTGACATACAGAAAAAGGCCCAGTCTCAAAACAAAACAAAAAGAAACAAAAAACCCAATTTCTCCAAAATTTTATCTGGTTCTATAGGACGATTTTATTCTATTTCATTTTAAAAGCTATATTTCTTAGTGGCATGGGCCTGGTGTTTGATGGAATGGTTCCCAGTGTATTTCTGTCAGGTGAGATATGGCCAAGTCACCTGGAACCGCACGTGACAATGGAGTGAAGAGTCCTTCAAACAATTGACACACCAGAGTCCAGATTAGAAGCAAGAGGGAGGAAGCAGTTCTAGGTCGCACAGCCATCTGCAAGTCCAGGTTCACATCCTCGGATGATTTACACCTGCTTGGGGAGACGACTGTGGAGGCTGCACACACCCTTCTGGAAGCTGAAGGCCAAAGAGTGAAGTTTAGAGTCAAAGTTCAGAAGTGTCAATGAAGGAGTGGCTTGAAGCTCATGCCCTGGAAACCTAGGTCACTGTCATTACTAATATTTGACCCCAAGGAAAGAGGACACAGGACTCCAAGTGAAAGTCAGGAGATGTGGGGGGACGTGGGTGAAGGCTTTGACACCTGCCAACCCCAGGGCTTTAAATGTGGGCTTTGCCATTTACTGACAAAGTAAACCTTGTGCGGGTTACCTGACTCTGAGCCCCAGTGAGAGGCGATGCCCTCACTCCCAGTGACTCACAAGGACTGAATCAGATGACACAACGCCAAAGAACACCACAGTGGTGTGCGTCGAGAGAGGCCAGGTCCAGCCTCTGAAGGAGTAAACCAGCAACTTGTTCTGCCCCAGGCTCTGTTAAGCCTGCTGGCCTCTGATGCCTTGGAATGTGGGTCGCACCTCTGTCTCCTCATCAAAAAAGCCACTGAGCGGTGAACATAGCCAAGCGTGTGTTTAAAGAGGATGCAGATCACCCCGGAATGACAGTTTGGAGCTTGTGAGGAGTAATTGTACTGAGTGGCATGCGGGAGACCGTTCGAGACCATTCCTCACTCACATCTGCTTAAATATTTAGTGATCTCCGAGGGAAGCTCTTTATGGAACTGCCCTGCAGTTTCCAGAACAAGCTCACCTCCTCCCCGTCTCCCTCCCTGGAACCTGCTGGGAGTCCTTGGAGCAAGCACATTGGAAGGAACCATTCTGAACCCACCAGAAGAACGGACAGTGGCTGCTGCTTACGGGACAGCCCAGAACTGGAAAACGTGTAATTCTTTCTCACAGTTCCTAGAACTGCCTTTACAGCTCGGGAAAGAAAAAAAAACAAACTAACCATCAAACAAACAAAAACTGAAGAAACCCAAAAGTCAGGCCCCATTTTTTCTCTCAAAAGAGTTTACCTTGGAGTGTCTTTTTAAAAGGCCAACACTATAATTCTGTGGTAGAGCACTTACTTACCTCCAAACTCCAGCACCACAGTTAAAAAAACAAAAGCAACATCAAACAGCATCAAAACCCCCAAATTCCCAAAGAACAAGATTCTAACGTTTATATTTCATTTAGGAGACAGTTAAGCTTTCTACTTAAATGTTTTTCTTTTAAAGACACATTTTTAGATAAAGGAAACAGGCCCATTTAGAGAAATGTGTTTCAAACAACAGCTTTTGGTTGCTGGTTGCCAAGGGAACAGTTACAGGCAAATTTCAATCAGCCCAGGAACCACAGGAACACTGTAAATGTGGAGTTTGCACAGCCCTACAGAAAGTAAACCGTTGAGGTTGAAAGCTTCCTTTCCCATCCCCTTTCCTGATCCTCCCTTCCCCTCTCTTCCTCTCTCCCCTCTCCTCCCCTTCTCAGCCATGAGCACACAACATGACCAGCTAGCAGGGCACTGGGCAGAAAGGACCAGGTGCCTGACCTGCACTGGCTCAGGGTGTGTATGTTTTGTTGAGCAAAACAAGGACTAGCAAACACATCAGAGGGATGTGCAAGGCGGGTTTGAATCCGAAAGAGGAGCAATCAGTAGAAAACTGTCCCCTACTGCAGAGGAGACCTACGGAGTCTCAAAGGTGGATTGATTATTTCAGTTCATCCCTGGCACAAATCACCCAATACCAGAATCTCCAGTCAGCTGAGGGTCAAGAGGGTAGGGGGCCAGAAGGAAGGCCTGGCGTAGAGGCAGCTGTGCTGCCGCTGCGGGGCTGCAGGCTCTGTTTCCTGGAGGGCTGGGGTCCATCTGGCTTTTCCACTCGCTACCCCTTATATCCAGAGCTCTGCTCTCTGAACCTATACAGCATTATGTAAGGACTTTCCTCCATTAGGTTGCCACTGCAGCCTAAAATGCTCGAAGATATTACAAACACCTTCCGTACTGCTCAGAGAGGCTGTACATGGGGCCTTGAGGTACCTCTGTTTACCTCTGGAGGCATTCTGAGCCAGTAGCCCTGGCCTTCAGCCCTCACAGCGAAACTTTGGGGCCGGAGGAAGAGGAGGGGCAGCTGCTGCACTTTCCAATATGCATTCTGTTGTCTCCCAGGAATTTGTATTTCTGTTTCTTTGGCTGGTTTTGAGACATTATCTTCTTGTGCATATGTCTTCCTTGTATGTGTCTCTCTGGGTGTGTGTATTGCTCTCTGTCTCTATCTCTCCCTCTATCAAGTTTCACTTTGATTTGTCTGGGTGTGTTTTCCTTGTATGCATCCTGATGGGTATCATCCCCCACGCTTAGATCTGTATGTTGATCATCTCCTTAATCTGGGGAAAAATGAGCCATCATCCATACAAATGTGCATGGTTCTCTGTCTGATCTTCTTCGTCTTCAGGGAGTCTCATTAAAAATGTGTTTGATATTATACTTTAGGTGGTTTTCCTCACTGTGTTTAATTCTGGGCTATTTTTATTGAAACAGTTTTAGGTTTATCGATCATTTCCTCGATGTGTCCATCCATATTCCACTAACGGGCTGATTACAGGCAATTCGTTTTCTCTGATAGCGTGATTCTGGTTTGGAGAATCTCATTGGCCTTTAAAGACGCTGCTTCTCTCTCAGTGATGAAGTCTTCTTCCCATCTGGTACACATCCTTTCCCTTTCCCTCTGGATTCCTTAATGTGTTTGTTACACATTAACAAACACTGTTGTCTCTGTTGTCTCTGTTAAGCAATTCCAACATCTGAGCTCTAGCCGAGTCTGCCCTACTCCTTCTCTTTGGATGACAGGGCACGTGTGTGCCCTTTCCAGTGTCTTGTGACTCTTCACTGCTGCTGGGCATTGTGTGTTAAATAGCAAAACAGAGAGGTGAACGATATTTACACCCAGAAGAGGCTTTTTCCTCTGACAGACTTTTGGAATAGGGGCTTCAGTCAAATAGGCCTGCAGTCATTGGCTCTGAGGTCACCTTAATAACATTTAGTGTGATGTATCATGGTCTGTTTGAGAATTAATTTTCATGCATCAACAAAAGATTTTTCAGAGCCCTCTGATGTTACTTTAAATAAGTAATGGCAGTACTTCCACCGACAATATATCCTTGCAATAGAAAATTAACAGGCCTGATTCACATCCTCCCGTTTCTGCCTCACCACCACCAAGAGAGCCTAGTGGAAAACAACCAGTCGGCAGAACCAAGAAAACGCATTCGTGAAGGTGCTGGAAGCTCTGTCCCCGATTGGCTGGAGTGGAACCGTCTAGTTGGGGACATATGACATCAATTAGCCCCAGTAACATTTCCTAGAGGACGAGGCATGTGCAGAGAAAGAAAACACTCCGTTTGTGAAGACCTTCAACTTGAGAAGAGCCAGCCGCAGGTCTGTGCTGTGCCAGATGCTGTGGGCGTGAAGGACATGGAAGGGCCCCCAGCAGCTAGAAATGGATTTGCAAATGTTAATTCAGGACCTGAGAAAAATCTCAGAAGATTAAGCAACATGAAGGCTTTCTAACTCTGGGTGGAATGACCGTGTTTGTCAAAGTCCAGCTTCCTGAGTCTCCCATCTAGAGATTTTAGTTCAGTAGGTCTGACCAGCACCCAGGAGCTGCACTTTAAAAAGCATTCCAGATGATTCCAGAACACATGAACACTGAGACAAATCCTTCCTTTTGCAGATAGGCAAGTCCGGAGAAGAGGCTTGGTCTGCACAAGGCCGCTCAGCCTGGGGCTCAAATCACATAGTGATGACTGTCACATGCCAAGGTCTTTCTTTGTACCTGGCATTTGCTCAGGCACTTGGCATATAGTGTCTCATCAATGCTTAAAAGCACCCTGGGGAATAGCCATCCTTATCACCACCAGCTCCACTTAAAAGAAAAAGACACCAAGCCTTAGAGAAATTCACGCTTTTGTAAGGTTACCCAGCAAACGGATGGATGAGCTCAGATTTGAATCCCAGACACCCAGGCCACCTACCGTCACACACGCCATCTCTGAGGATTTTGTTGAATACTTCCAAAGAACTTTTCCTGGAGGGAGGGGGCACAGGGACTGAAGAATGTGTGCATGGCTACAGGTTTCTTCATGGAGGAGTTTAAACCTAAGGCAGTGTGTCTCAGTATAAATGTATCGTCTGGTAATGGAGTGGGTAGCTGCCTCCAGATCCTATAAAGGGGTCTTCTCTGAGGCCTACCCTGTTGCCCACTGGATGACTCCTTTCCCACGATCTGGATTCTGTCTGTCTGTCTATCTATCTATCTATCTATCTATCTATCTATCTATCTATCTATCTATCGTGGAGACAGAGTCTCCTGTAGTCAGGCTGGCTTAGAACTCACTATGTAGCCAAGGCTGACCTTGAACTCTTGGTTTTCCCACCTTCACCTCTGAGTTCTATGCATAAAACACTTAGTTTTATGCAGTCCTGGAGATGGAACCCAGGGCTTCATCACGCCAGGCAAGCCCTCTCCCAGATGAGCTACTTCCCAGCCCCCACAGTGTGGGTCTCAACCAGGAGTTTGGCAGCGGCCTCCTGTGATTGAATAGGCCCTGACTGGCATCTTCTCTGCAAGCAGGAACTCACCGGCACTCACCCTCTGGGAAGTGATTGTTCTCGCCGCTGCGTTCCCCCACCCCGGAGATCTTTGTGTACCTTAGAAAAGAACAGCAATTCTTTCACTGGCCGGTCACACCTCCCTCTTCCACACCCACTCTCTGCAACACACACAGGGACCTGAGCTCCTCAAGCCACCGTTTCTGCGATGAACACTAAGAGAAAATTTACATTTAATAAGATTTTAGACAAAAGCATCTTTACTTCAAAGCATTTCTAACCGCTTCAGAATTAACAGATGAGATCCAGCTTCCCAGGAACCAGAGCCCCAGCCCAGGCCCTCCTCTTGGGAGGGGGAGAACTTTGAATGCCTGGCTGTCCTAACACTGAGACACAGCTGGACGGTTAGGGGGTCACTTTGGCTCTTTTCCGAGCTCCATGTTGGTGTCACTGAGCTGGTGTGTGACTTTGGCTCAGCATTTGTGTTTGAGCCAGATGCCAACTTAACTGGGTCAGTTTTCTCATCTGTAACTTCGAGGTACCCTCAAGGGGTCATTGGGTATATTAGACCAAGATGACTACTCAGTAATAGCAATTAGCACTGTCAATGAAGGGTGGTCTTAGGCCGTCAGACTCAAACTCAACAGCTCCTACACCCTAATTCTTTCTCCTTCCCAAAGTATTCCATGAGTAGTCCAAGCAGCCCAGAGCCCTGTAACAATGGTTGCCCACCACATAGGGTGATTTCTGCTGGATGAACGCTCAGTGAGTGCTTTTCAGACAGATGGCATGGGGGTAAGGTGAGAGCACTCTCCTGGACCTGCCAACTGAGCAAGCTGGGGTTCTGAGAGAGCAGGGCGGGAGTCTGCCCAGTGTCCTAAGAAAAGCTATGGTGCCAGGACTCAAACCTGAATCTGTTTCGTTTATGAGACCTTGTTCTCTCAGCTGCAACTGAGGTTCAGATGGACCTGTAGGGGACAGAAAGGTTGAGCAAAGGCCCAGAAATGAGGAAGTAAATGCCCTGGAGAGGAGACAGCAGGCACGTGCCAGAAGTCACAGGTCCAGTGTGTAAGGGCCTTCGCCTTGTTGCCTTCTAAATGTGTGAACTTCCAGAAGTTTCACAGCCTCTCTGACTTCTGACTGAGCTAACAGAATGGGTCTTGCCTTTTCTAGACGTGTGAATGAGCAGTTGGTTCCCCACAAGTCTCTGCTTGCAGGCGTGTGATGCTTACAGTATTCCACTGGGTGAGCTTGGGGGTCCTGCTGCTTGCCTTCATGTCTTGCTCTCTTTCCTCAGGGTGGGAGAACGTCTATGGCTTTGACATGACCTGTATCCGGGATGTCGCCATGAAGGAGCCCCTGGTGGACATCGTGGACCCAAAGCAAGTGGTGACCAATGCCTGTTTAATAAAGGTCTGGAGATTTGTCTGGGTTGGGCCTGGGTATTCTAAGGACCCAGCTGTGCCACTCTGGAAAGTTGAGCAATGCCAGTTCCTGCATGGCTCCCCAGTGAGGGCAGCGAGGCCATTTTGGTCAGAGCCTGGTGACAAGTCAAAAGAAAAAAAAGTTCTTACTAAGTAGAACTGCTGAGAAGACTCCAGAGTGGCCCTGCTGGGAGTGGGACCCAAAGTGGTGGCCCTGGTGTATGAGTGGGAGGAAGAGCGAGCATCAGGGACCAAACAGCTGGGAGGCAGGAGGAATATGGAGACTTGGGAGAGCAGGGCAATTCAGGGCTGAGTGTCTATCGTCCATCTTGGGGAAGACTTCCAAGACCTCATGATAACGCCACTCTATGTACACAGTAGGTTTGTATGGATAGAGTCTTCTGCCCCATCCTGGAGGCTCCTCCTTTGTCTGTGCTCTGAAATCATTCCCTGTAAGGGTTTCTTCAGTGCAGATGGCTAGCTGGTCAGCATCTTGAATCCATTCTTACTGTTACATACCCGAACACGCCTACTCACAAAGAGTAACAATAAACGTTGAACCAGCCCCCACCACTTTCCCACCCCATCTCCTCCTAGGAGCCACCACTGTCAGAGGCCAGTTGGATCCTTTCGGTCCCCCTTCTATGTTTTAGCACTCCTACGGGCTGACATATGATATTGAAACAGATACAAGCGACATGTGACGGCCCTTAATCTTTTAGGTGGAGAGACATTCACTTCACAGGATGCAAGTTCATTTTCTGGACTAAACCCGTGGCGCCAATGTAAGCCTCATCAGCCCACCTGTCTCTCTCTATCGACTGGGGCATCCTTGTCTGCCCTGGGTCCCCATGCCTCCCTTGTTTTCTGGAAGTCTGAGGCTGGTGGATTGGAACCTTTCTAGCAGAAGTGAGGACCAATTTATGGCCTCCAAAGTTGAGGGCCGCTGCTCACTCACACCAGGAACTCCCCGTTTTCTGGACACAGGATCCACTGCAGCCCTTGGTCCTGACCATCCCAGCTGCATTAGAAAGGGCTACCTGGGAAAGGTGTCACCTGATGACTCCCACTGTGTAGCATCCTGCCTAAGAGGTTTGGCTTCAGATCTGAGTCTTGGCTTCTCATCCTCAGGCACCCAGTACTCCTAGCTCACGAATCCCCTGAGACTGGCAGGGAATATGTGAGGAACTATGCCCACCTCTTCCTGTAAACCCAAACCCCTGAGGCTTTTACTCTTGAAACTCTGAACAAGAGCCAGGAAAATGGGGGAAGCTCACTCTCGGGCCATGACACACCCCTCAAAATTCAGAATAAGAGCTTTGGTGTCTGTGTTCCAGGAGGCTAATGAGGATAGAGAAGATAGAGAGTTTGAGACCCTCTTGAGCAACTGTCTCAAAAACCAAAGCAAGAAGGGGAGAATTCAGTTCAGAAGTTCAATGGTAGAATCCTTGCCTAGCGTGTACCTGGCACAGAGTTCAATCCCCAGTAACAAAAAAACAAACAAACAAATAAATTGATTAATTTCAGAAGAGGTAGCAATGCTATTGAATTTTCCAAAACAACACATAGCAGTCATGGCTACCACCAGGCATCTGCATAAAGCAGCTTAGCGTGGAGATTAAAAAAAAAATCTGTCAGTGTTCTGTGGCACTAGGTCACCTTCTGTCCCTGGCAGAGCTTCATCGCTATGTGGCCACTGTGGTACTACGTGTCACCGGCCGGTGGTCTCACAGATCGACTAGATTCTCCATCACCCTCAGCCTTCATGCACCTCTTTTTCTTTTCCTCCTTTCCCCTCTTCCCAGATGGGTACCTCAGCAGCAAGATCCTTGGCCATGGCTGCACCTGGGTGCATCTGTGTGCCTAGCAGCCAGACTAGACAAGGAAGAAGGCTGGGGAAGGATGGGTGTCAGATCTCCTGCTGCAAATTCAGAAGTGCTCGGAAGATGTCTTGGGACCAGGGACTCCACACTGTGATGATGTCCCTGTGCCCACTGTCACGGCTGCACTCTGACCCTCTTCCTATCCGCATTTTCTGAAATAGGAGGGGACTGTTTGCCCCTGCACTGCTTGCTCCCACACCTCTCTCTCTCTCTCTCTCTCTGCAGCATCTCACTGAGCCTTCTGGGAAAACACTTGCCCTTCTTCACACACTTAATTGCTGTTTTCATAGCTATTAACACTGCCGAGTGTGACACTTTATTATAATTAAGACTCTGTTTTGACCAGACTTCTGCCTGGAGACATCTATTTGTGACATTATTGAGAAGTGGGGTAGCAGAGGCCAGGAGCTCTTCTGAATCTCATTCCCTGAGGATCCCTGTGTTATCTGGGGTTGCCTGAGGCCAAGGCAGTGAATTTCCTTGAGGTCTCAAGGGTGCAAATGAGAGACAAACAGCCCTTCCGGCCACAGTGCTTGGGCTGGGGCACCAGTGTGGACGACTGGTTGAGCTGCTGACTGGGGTATGCACCTGAGCCCTGGGCCTTTGTGTTCCCCAAGCCTAGCCAGGTCTGATCCTATTCCCACAGATTGGACCCATCTGCCTCTACTGTCACTTCAGTGCACAGCTTCATTGCCCTTTGCCTGGAAGTCTTTTGTTTCCTCAGAGGCCCCTATTAAGATGCAAATGTCTCCAAGACCCCTGGAACCCTGTCAGCTAACACAAGACATGACAGATGACATTTGGTTGATGGATGATTCGAGAGACTGACTGTTTGAAGATGGGATTTCTGCTAGATGGTTTGCTTGTGGTGTGTGTGCATATGTGTGTGTGTGCATGGTGTGTATGCGTGGTATATGTGCATTTGGTGTGTGTATGTGTGATGTGTGTGTGTGTGGTATGTGCATGTGCGTGTGTGTGTGTGGTATTTGTGTTGTATATGTGTGTGCATATGTGTGGTGTGTTATATATGTGTGTATGTGGTATGTATGCACGTGTGTGATGTGTTGTATATGTGTGTGTGGTGTGTGTATGTTTATGTGTATGTGTGGTGTATGTGTGTAGTGTGTTGTATATGTATGTGTGTGGTGTGTGTGGTGTGTTGTATGTTTATGTGTGCGTGTGCTGTGGTGTGGTGTGTGTGTGTGTGTGTTGTGGTGTGTTGTGTTGTATGTGTGTGTGTGTAACCATGAATACAAGTTTGTTGCTCATCACTGGTAAAGACTAATGACTCCAGAGCAGGTTGTTGGGTCAAGGAAAAAAAAGTCCTGAATAGCAGCCAGCTCGTCTTGCCTCGGTTTTGCAGGCTGCTATGGGGGAACGTGAGGGCACATGAGACAAGTGAACTTCAGGATCTAAACCACCAGTGGTCCTCCCTGATGTGCAGATTCTGTAAATCTGAAGTTAAGTTACCGATAAGAAAGTCTCTGCCAGGCATGGTGGGATATACGTGTACTCCCAGCACAAGGGAGGTAGAGGCAAGGTATCAGGGTTCAAGGTCAGCATCATCTACTTAAGGAGCTGGAGACCAGTCTGGTCTCTGTGAGACCCTGACTCAACAAACCAAACAAATCTGTGCCTCCTGGGATTTTTTGTTTTGTTTTTGTTTTTTGTAATTCCTTTCCCCAGGAGAAGTTAATTCTGCAGCTAATTGTTATAAAATGGAAAACATTGTTTCCTCCGAAGAATGGGGAAGATGGCAAAGGACGACTTTGCTGGAAGATCCTGGGGGACAGAGAAAAACCAGAGACATGCAACTGCAGTCAGGCTAGATAGTGAAATACAGTTTTCACACAACAGGATGGCTTCATTCAGAGTGTCACTTGGAGCAAAGCCAGTGTGAAGCCATCAACACGTTGATGGCTGCATAGCCTCCCAAATTAACTTTGGAACCAACTAAAGGGTGGGGAGGTAGATGTTTATTTAAGTTCTCACTGAGTAATGTGTGCATATGTGATTATATGTGTCTGTATGTGTATTATGAGTATGTGTGCATTTATGTATGTATATGTGTGTGCATGTGTGCATATGTGTTTTTAAAGTGACAGAAAAGGAAGTAATAGATGGGGAAACTACATGAGCTGATAAAAATCACAGGGAGTCACTGAAGGCTGAGGACCAAGAGTGACACGGTTTGAGTGGGTGAGTGATTGTGATAGAAAGCCCAGGGAAGAAGGAACGACTCCAGCCAGGGAGCCCTGTTCTGAGAGAATGGTAAGCCCACGCACCTATTAGTGCTCAGTTATATACCAGGGACACACAAGACAATGAGTATGGTTCCTGTCCTCAAAAGGACCCGTTCTAATGGCAGGGGCTGAGGATGGAGGTGACAAGGCCCCTACATAACAGTCAAAAGTCAACCTGGGCTGATGGCTGAAGACCAAAAGAGAAAGAGTCAGGGACCGTGAGAAGACCCACACGAGAGGGGGGCAGCAAAGTCATCAAGCATTTATGTAGCCGTTAGTCACTGCTCAGTTCCCCGAGGCATTCTCTTGAATTCTGGAGCTACAGGGAACTTGTGGATGAAGTGTGACTTGGAGGGACCGTGAACATCTGACATCTCCTCTGAAGTGGTTTCCTGCCCTGGAACAATGCCCCCCACTCCTAGGCAGGGTCTCTGCCGAAGGGATGGGGTAGAGAGCAGCCTTGAATGCGGACAGAACCCAACAGCTTGCGATTCCCAGCAGGAGGGTAAAGGGCATCCATGTCGGTCGGAGCAGACATTCAGCTGGCCCTGTAGACGGAAGTCAGGGCAAACAGCTGTGATCTCTCCATTGCTGCTGAAGATGCCTGGACCTGAAAGGCGCTGTACTGTGCACAGAGGACCAGCATCCTTGGACTGTCCACAAAGGTCAAGGTGTCACTAATCAGGATGGATGGGATGCTTTAGACCATCGATGGTGGCTCCTCTGATCCAAGGCTCACCCTTCCATAGTTTCATTCTATCTTTGGGCTCTAGAAACCATTTAATGTCGATCTCATGGAAGACTCCACCCAACCCTGCAGTCCAGCCGCTTGCTGCCAACTCCCGGAGGGCTTCACTTTCTAACCCTGAATCTGCCCTCTTCCTGGCCAGTCTGAGAGTATTTCCCCTTCCCCATAGGTCATGGTGGCTCACTCAGGCCTCATCACATCAGGAGACCTGCTTGGCTCCTGTGACTCCATTTCCTCTTTGCAAGTCCTATGACCTTTGTAACCCCTTTCCTTTGAATGATCCTGAAAACACAGAGAGATGGGAACCCTTTGCCCAGTGCCATTCTGTCTCTTCATGGGTCTTATTGTTGGGTATCTGGAGCACTACCTGCAGCCACCAGGCACACAGGTGTCTGTCTGTCTCTTTCAGAGTTACCCAAAAAGTAGTTCTTGCTATACACCCTAAAACGAGGGAAGTTCTTTAAGTCTCATTGGCATCTGCCTCTTAAGTCCCCAGTAGGGTTTCTTGCATCAGCCAATGAACAACAGGTCATTCAGCATCCTTCACATGCAGAACCGCTCTCCCCTGCACTTGCTCCCCACGCAGCATCGATTTTCAGTCACTCTCCAGCTGAACTTGCGAGAATTATTAGTTCTTTGTGTTCTGCCTCTCCCCAGTCCAGACTGAGACTTCTCGCCTCCTGTTTCCCCCCTCTTATTTATTTTTTAAACCTGTCCAGCCTTGCTACAAATGGTCAGTGGAACGTCCTCCCGTTTATGCTTCAGTCCTGAGGCAACACTTGGAGAACTTGAATAAAAAAAAAAATGGTGAGGGCCAAGAGAATTCTGAGAGGGGCAAGGAGAGACACTGTAGACTTACTCAATCAAAACATCTGATTCATGGGAGACCTGGAGGGCCCTGCCATTTTGGTGTTTTGATTGAGTAAGTCTGCAGTGACTCTCCTTGTCCCTCTCAGAATTTTCTCCCAGGTAATAAAGATGCTAAGTGGGGTGGGTTGGGGGGCACACTTTATGAATGACTGGAGGCTGGCAGCAATTCTTGGCTGGCCACTGGAAGAAGACACTCTAACTTGCATTGGTGATGTGTGGTCTCCTAGATCACTCCTATCTCAACCTTCAGCCCCTCTGGCCTCCTCCCCCAGCAGACATACCTTCCTGGTTCAGTTCTGCTCAGCTTTAGATGCAACTCCATTCACGCCATTCTCCAAGCATCCGTCCCCTTAGAAAAGGTGGAGGAGGTAGCTGGAAGGGTGGTGGGTAGGCCTGGAAGTCACTCCAAAGTAGTGGCTAATCCAGTTACTCTAGGGGTGAGGTTACTGGGCCCCCTGGCGAGACAGAGGTTGTCAGCCTCCGCTTTCTCTCTCCTCTGGGCTGCAGGAAGTGGACATTTACACTGTGAAGACGGAAGAGCTGTCCTTCACATCTGCCTTCTGCCTGCAGATACAGCGCAACGACTACGTCCATGCCCTCGTCACCTATTTTAATATTGAATTTACCAAGTGCCACAAGAAAATGGGTTTTTCTACAGGTGAGTTTTGTGTAGCTTTCCCTCTGTGCTTCCTTGAGGCTTATGGGTAGAAACCAGGACTGGCCTTGACTTGGCCAGACATCAGTTGGCATCTCACGTGCTTCCTCCATCTGAGGAGAGGATGCAGCCCCTGTTCTCTTGACTTCCCAAGGGAGAGGTAAACATGATAGGGATAGAGTTTCCAGAGTTGAGAGCAGGCATGGGTGCCACCAGGAGCTCGCTCTGGCCTCCCTTCTGCTCTTCTGTCCTTGTTGTCCTGAAGGGAAGAATTCCTATGAGACATGGTATAGTTACAGAATATGGGCTGAACTCACCGTAAAGAAATATGAGGTACTTTTGAGAGTAAGAGCAGAGGGTGACCAAAGGGGCCACTGTGTAGGAAGACACTCTGGAGGGGCAAGCATGGCCAGTGATCATGGAGATCATCATGCTGACTTACATACTTAGGTCTACCTTAAACCAAGGAGGGTTGAGTGTTCATGCCTGCTCATGTGTGTGAGCACATGAAAACAGAGGCTGCCCGAGCTTGCTCTCTGGTACTGTGATAAATGCCATGGCCAAAACAACTTGGGGAGGAAAGGGTTTGTTTACTCCTATAGCTTGTTTATCACTGAGGGAAGCCCAGGCAAGAAGACAGAGGCAGGAACTGAAGGAACGCTGCTGCGTATTGGCTGGCTCTCGGGTTCACATTCACGCTCTTTTTTATACATCCCAGATACACCTTGCCTAGCAATAGTGCCATCCACAGTGATTGAGTCTTCCCACATGAATTAATGATCAGGAAAATACCTCATAGACACACCCACCGGCCAATCTGATGGAGGCAATTCCCAGCAGTCCAGAATGTCGTGTCTCCTCCTGGGGCCAGAGATAGACTTAGATCTCACTGTTTTGACTAATAATCCAGGTCTTGCTGTCTCTGATCCTGGGTTTACAAGCGGCTGATAATGAGGGCGGGCTCATCCCCAGTCACCTCCACTAGCTCATTTATGCCGCCCTGCTTAACGCTGGGGGAGGGCAAGGTAGGAGACATGGCCTGGGTAAGGAGATTCTCATTTGAAAAATTTAATTTATTATTACTATAATGTGTGTTATGATGTGTGAAAGAGGTGGGTGTGTTGCGGCATGCTTGCGCCTGTGGAAGCCAGAAGACATTTCAAGTTGATTCTTTCCTGCTACCTTTATGCGGGTGCCAGGGATCAAACTAAGGTCACTGGACTTATGTGGCAAGAGTCTCTAGCCGCTGATCCATCTCACTGGGCCTGTCCCCTGGAGACTTTTAATATATGTCTGTCTGATTGGCATTTGTGAAAAGATTCTGTGTGCGGGGTAAGAACAGCACAGGGTTTCTGACAGAAGCCCCTCCTGGCCCCAGGACAGCCTATATGACATGCGAGAGGTGTGTGCAGAGGTGACAGCCTCTATACAAGACTACACATATCTCCCTCTGGGCTACGAACTGGTCTCTCTCCTTCCTGCTTTTCCCCACCTGCAACCATTCATCATTAAGCTTGTGGTTGTGTTCTCAGAAGATGGCTTCCACTATTTCGGTCTGCTTTCTGCTGCTGTAACAAAACATTTGAGTCTGGATAACTCATTTGACCCACAGTTCTGGAGGTTGGCAAGTCCGAAAACATGGTGCTGGCATTAACTTGGCATCTGATGGGGGGTTCTGTGCTGCATCATAACATGGCAAATGGTACCAAAGGTGAGACAAAGAAAGCCTGAGAAAGAGTTTTCCTGTACAGTAGCTCACTCCTGTGAAGTGGTGATTGAATAAGAATGGCTCCCATAGGCTCATACATCTGAATGCGGTGTCACCATGGAGTGGAACTTTGGGGGAAGGGTTCGGGCATATGGCCTCACCGGAGGTGTGTCACTGAGACTGAGCCTTAAGCTTTCAAAACCCACACCAGGGCCAGTCTCTCCTTCTCTTTGGCTGCTACCTATGGGTCAGGTTGCAAAGCTGTGCCACTGTTCCGACCCCATGCCTGACTGACTTCCACCAGGATGATCACAGACTCACCCTCTGAAACTGTAAGCAAGCCCCCAACTAAATGCTTTCTTGTATAAGAGTTGCTGTGGTCATGGTGTCTCTTCACAGTAATAGAACTATAACTAAGGCACATGATAACGCACAGGTACATGAATGGATTAGTATATTCTTGAGGATAGAACCCCAAGACCCAGATATTCACCTCCCTAAAAGATTTCAGCTCTCAACATCGATATACTCTCTAAAGACCACATTTCCAACACACGAACTTTGGCAGACACATTCAAATCATGTCCTTTGTTTTAAGAGGCGCCTCACTGCCTTTGGGCCTGACTAGAGAGAGTTCCGTGGCTTGGTCCTGGTCCTCTAGTTGGTACTCAGATTTCTCCTTGCTGGGCATGCACAACTTTTTTCCCCCATTTTTCTCACCCACAGGACAGCCACTCTGAACTCCCTCCTTCTTTATCATGGGCCATTGTTTCTGCATGCTCATTTGGGCTGTGACCCAGGAACAGGAGGGTCCTTTATCAGAGGGCTTTTATTGCTCCTCTCTTTCTGCAATAGTTTGCCTGAGCCACCAGGATAAAGGTCTAGAGGCTGAATGCTCTCCATATGAGTCCCTGGAAACTGTGTGTGCCCTCAGGGGCTGCGTAGGTAGGTGTGCGAGTGGCAGGGGGGGGGGGGGATGTTCTAGCAGATGTAATTACTTATTTCTTAGCTACATGGGGACAGAGATGCCCTTTTACCTGTGGATAGGAGGCAGGAACCTTTTAAAGCAAATCCAATACCAGGCCAGGCGTGGTGACACACACAGTCCCAACACTTGGGAGGCAGAGGCAGATGAATCTCTGTGAGTCTGAGGCCAGCCTGGTCTACACAGCAAGTTCCATATCAGCCAGGGATAAAGGATAAGACCTTGTCTCAAAACAAACCAACAAACCAACAAACAAATAATCTTGTCCAAATCCTAGAAAGTCTTCCCCTAGATCCAGTATACACCTCTGACTACAAAGACTAATATCTCTTGGACTCTATCATCTAGGCCAAACAGGTGCTCTTTTGGCCTTGGGAAAACCAGAGATCCCCATGATCTGGGCCATTGCTGAGGGCTGCCCTCCTTCAAGGGTCAGTAGGTGAGCTGAACTCTTTTTCCCAGTGGGTAGGAACATCCTGGAGAGGGGGAAAGTCAGATTCTACTTGAACTTGAAGGATAAAGAAGACACAGTCTAGCAATGGAGAGGGGATGGTGGTAATGAGGGAGTCATGGCATCCAGCTCTGTCTCTCCCACCTCTCAATGATGATAGCTCAGAGCCTGCCCTGTGGGTGATGAGAGAGCCTTTGGCAGGGGCACTCTAGAAGGAGCTGTGGGTGTTTAAAGCATAGGTCCTGGCCCATGGGTCTCACTAAGGTTTATCTTCCCTTCAAGTGATTTCCTTCTGGTCCCAGCACCCTACTGGACCTCTGTCTAGAGTTGATCCCCTGGCTCTGGGGTGGCAGGGTTGACATTCTGATGGCCCCATGAGGAGGAGGCTTGGGAAGGCTCAGCCCAGACTCAAAGCTGTTGCTTCTGGGCTTCCTGAAAGGTGAGGACTTGAAGCATGTGACACCAGGCTCAGTCCTCTGTGTGTGGATCACCCCCCACCATTGTCCCACTCAAGATGAAAGCCAATGGTGAATCCAGGTGGAAGCCTGACCTCTGCCTTTGAGTCATTCGCAAGACATATTCCCTATTGATTGCACAGAACTCCACAAAGCTGGACTCAAGAAGGTTGTTTGTGGGCCCTAAAATCTTTGATTCCCGTGTCTCAGTGCAGTGACTCTCAAAGAGCTGTCTGTGGACAAGAGCCTCAGCAACCCTCTGATCTAGGAAGGCCTCTCCCTAGAACCACCAGCTCAAAAACCCTGAGGGTGGTCCAGCCTTCTGTGCCCTGGCAAAGCCTCCAGGTAACCATGCTTCCTACTTGAGTTTTAGAAACACTGCCCTCCAGCAAGGCCATCTTGAACTAGACAGCTGAGGATTCCACTGAGCCCGACTCCCTCTGTGAGGGCAAGCCTGCCTCCTCACCAGGGCGTGCCCTCCGTCTGCACTCACCATGTCTTCTTGTCTCTCGTATCCTCTTATCCTGCTTGCTGAGAGTCAGAGGAAACAGTGCGGTTGGTTAGTCTCTTCGCCCTCTTGGGAGGTTAACATGAGTTTGGTGTGTCAAAGATTTTGCTAGACCACATGGGCTTGGCAGTGGACTCTACTCTGAGTCTTCACTCTAGTCAATGGCAGAGTAATTTCTTTTGTTGTTTTAGGCTTATAGGTGTATATAATTTGATAAATCTCAGTGTTTGGTTCAAGACATACTATCACAATTGGGCAACTTATGCATGATTCACTTTGGACTTCTTTGTTTATTAATATAATGAGTGCTCATGAACTTACCACCTAACTCAATAACTAGGATGGAGATGAATTATTAATTCGAATGGAGCTAAATTATTAACTACAATGCAAAGAGTAGCTGGAAACAAATTTATTATTATTTCTGTTGGAATGTAAGTGCACGAGTTGTTGAGCAATACTTAATTAAAATATAAATATCAGCTAAAATGGATGATGAATAAATGATATATGGTTATATTTATAATTAATAAATGTAAATAAACTAATTTGTATTCACAGAAGAGCTCCCTGCGAGCTCACCTCAGAACTTAGTGACTTAGATGCTATTGGTATCTCTTAATTTTTTTCTCTAAATGTCCTATTTCTAACCATCCAGTCCCTAAGGCATTATCCTAAGTTATGTTTTCTTACGTCCTGGCTATGATAAAAAAAAGAGTTTTCATACAATCATGCGTGTGCAAAAACAAGATATTGGTTGTGGGAGTCTGTGAATGCTTTCTTCCCCTCCCCGGCAGGTGCCCCTCCCTGCTGGTCCCCCCCCCCCCTGAGTTTTACATCTCAGACTCAGTGCAGCCAGCTCTGGGAGATCCACTCACAAAAGCAAATCACATACTGTGTAGCTCGAAAATGCTTCTGCTAATGGTTCTGGCCGCTTTACAGCATCGGGCAGAGGCACCCAAAGCTCTGCCAGCCATGGGCACAGCTGTCCCTGTCCCCTTGAGCTCATCCTATGTGAGGGTGGGAGGAGATCTGAGGCTGCAGTACAATCCAGGGAAGCTGCAAGGTGGGTGGAAGGCAGTGACCCTAAGGGGAGCTGGCTTCAAGTATCAGTTTTTCCAAGGCAGGATATTAAACATCAGAGATGCCCTTGAGCAGGTGACTTTGTGGGTTTCAGGCAGCCTCTTTTCTGATTTGCCATCCTGTGGCACTGAGTCATTTTCCAGGTCGAGAAAACCTCTCTGTACACCGTCTTTAATTTCCAAGAAGCTCGCTAGACAATGCAACTCTAAATATACAGCAACAGAATTTACAGTCTAACAAAGAAATCTAAACACTTAACCCCTGGGAAGTGAAACAGGAAGCTGAATTCTCTTCCTCAGAGCACAGGAGGATAATTTCATGAGAGGCCACTCCCAGTGGTGCTCATGGCTCCGGTGTTTCCACTCCTCACCAAAGACCATAGCTCCCACAGGACTGCGTGCACTACCCACTGCTTGCCTAGGTCTTCCAAGGGCTTTGGGTCTACAGGAAGAATGAGGGTGGAAATGCCATGTTCATCTTGGGCATTGCTGGACAAATGCAGAGCCGCACCTGGTGCATGACAGGCACCCTAAGTCGAAAGACCTTTAAATGCATGCTCTTTTCCTTGCAGTATTGCAGACAGAACTGGCCATACTCATCCCAAATGGAGAGTGATAGTCATCAGAAACCTAGAACCGGGGACGCTGGGCTGACGTGAGGGTTCAGATATGTGGGTCCAGAATATTCCCAAGTGGAACCCATCCTCATAATGCCCGAAAGCTGTGTCATCCTGGGTTGTAGGTTGGGACTGGGGAGGGAGGGACACTTTGTCACTGACAAAGAGAGCTATAGACATCATCCAGAGCCCTGAATGCATGGTATAGCGTGAGAGTCACCCAGTGCATTGCAGCATTCCAGATACGGCTCAGGCATTCTAGAGCACCAGAGTGAGGCAGTGTATCTTTGCAGTGATCCCTCCCGCGGTTTATGGTTGGATACTTACATACCAGGTCACACAATGACTCACTATCAGCTGCCACGGCTTAGCGAATCCTCTGATATGGTTTTGTTAAAACTAATAGGTTGTAAGTGGGGTGTCCATATGACTCAGGAGGCCTTGGAAAGAGAAAAGGTAAGCTAGTCCTGATTGTGCTGGGTGAGCAGACATGGTCTGTATCCTCAGGCAGAGAGGGGGATTGTGTGGTCACGCCTTACGATCCATCTCACTCTTGCCATACCTCAGGGGATAAGCAACATGGCCTATATTCCACATGGTGGCACAGGATTTTCAGGGTCACAGTACAAACCTGTGGTAAAAATACTACAGAACTAGGGCCCATTGTTCTTCCCACCACGTCTACTCCGGAGAATGTAAGAGAAGACGGATACTTCAGTCACAGCGGCTGATAGTATGTCTTGGCATGTCTATTCCCTCGATGTACCACCTGCCCAGAATTACTGATCTAGAAATGCGAACTGAAGCAGAGTCAAGCTTCTGAATTGTGTTCTTCCTACTGGGCATGACGGAAAACTCAGATGAGAAAGCATGTTGCGACCATTATAGGCCATGGTTGCTGGTTCCACTATGAAAGTGATGGTTGGGAAATCTTTTGAGACAGTATTTCTTCTACCCGGGGATGGCACTCACCGGGATCTGGGGTCATCCAGTAGAGGCCGACTGGCCTCAGTGGGCAGCAGACCTAAGCCAGTGATGTTCAGACCGTCGGCATCTCTGATTGGGTGTCAGAGGAGGCAGCTCAAATCCCCGTAGCTGAAGGTCTTTAGGAAGGGGAGAGACACCTGCCTGAGTGGGTGGAGGTGGAGATGGGGGCGAGGGTGCTGTCAGTCACACTCCAGCTTTCTGCACACACAGCCAGAGCTTGTCTTTTGACAGTTTATTTAGAGGTAATTGGCAGGACGCGTGCTGAGAGCAGGTGGTTTGTAGACCGCAGCATGCCTGGCAGGCTGGGTTAGCGCTAGGCGGCCTTGAGGCCCCAGGGTCTGCAAGGCACAGGCTACGGTATCTCGGTCTTCCTTCCCCTCCAGAGGCTCAGGCTGTGCCTTCTCTTGTAACCTTGAGTTTTCATTGATTTCCAAATGCACACACTGAAGGCTGTCCTAGTCTCTATCCGACCACTGACATTTGGTCAAGTCAGCTCACTGCAAGGAACAAAGGGGTGGGGGTGGAGGTTTTTTTGCCATCATTAAAATAGATCTTCGGGTTTTGAAAGCTATTTTAGGTTACCCTGTCTGACTTGGCACATGACAAGGTGTCCTCAGCACCTCGGGGAGGAACAAGCCACGCTGTTCCCATGGTTGTACGACAATTCCAATTCCTATCGCAGGTGCACAACTCACTCCTAGTAATTCCCCAAGCCGTATGTAAGGCAGAGTCTCCCATGCCAGGAGTCTTTGATGTGTTTGAAGGCCCTTATGTCCTTCCCAAGTCTTGTTGCAATTGGCATTGGTTTTAGGCGAGCAGGAAAATCCATCAGGGCTGGGGGGGGAACAAGGGTCTAAGCCAAGAGGTGCTCACCCTAAAGTGAGCCTTCTGTAGCCCACAGGTTTCAGCTGATCATCTTTGGATACATCACACATCACAAGATGCTGGGTTTGGACTCTTGACACTATCCACTTAAGGGTGTCCACTTGACACTTGACTCAGGGCTTCTAGGTTGAACATGGTAAGAGCTAAGCAGTGCTAGGCAAGGCTGGCCTGGTCCCACTCTCTGAGAGCCTGCAGAGGATCTAAGCAAGTAAGGAGCAGGTGTTTACTCTGAGGCGTGGTAGACAGTGTCATGACATTAATTCTGGATGCCCTCGGAGCACCAGATCCATGCTGGAGTGGTCCAGGAAGGCCGACCTTAAACAATGAGGACGTATTGAGCCTGGAGAGTGCTCCAGAGGCTGTCACGACCAAAGAAAAGGACTGCATCCCAAGATCCAGGGCCCCTCCACGTTATTTGGAGACTACATGGGTCCAGTGACAAGTCCAGGGAGACGCAAGCATCATGATAGACTTGAACTATGCAGAAGGGGTGATCTGGGGAAGAAGAATCCCATTCTTCCTGGTCCTGTTGGGAAGGCACAGCTGGACTCTTACAGCAGGACTGGGCCAGGGTGCTGGGTACAGCAGCAGGGCAAACTCTTGGGCAAGAGAAGCTACTCAAAGGATGGAGGAATGAAAAGGAGAGGTACTGGTAAATCTGGGAGACTGGTTGAGCTGTAGAGTTTGCATAAATGATGTCATACATCTACAAAGGATGGAGAGAGGATGGGCTGCTCTATATGCCTCACTGCGCTAAGCATAGGAGCGTAGGGAGGAGGCTCATGTGTGCGCACGGGATTGGTTGCTGAGGGGGCTTTCAGGCTGCCTCTCTTCTGAACCCTCACTAAGGTCACCAGTTCAGTAGGGCTGGGGCTGAGTCAGGAGTTCTGGGGCTTGGTCTAGATATCTGAGCTATTGAGTGATGTGTGGGCAGAAGTCACGGAGTACTCAGTGAAAGGACAAGCGCCAGCACAAGAAACCCCGAGACCAAGTTCTCAGCACAAAGGAGTTGGGACAAAGGACAGGGAATAAGAGACAAAGACAGGAGGTAGAGGACAAGGGAAAAGGAGTAGGGAACAAGCAAAAGGGGGCAGGGGTGTTTGCCCCATAGAGAAAACAGACTGCCTCTGGATAGAGAGGAGGCAGATGTGGCCTACAGGCAAATGGTAGTTTAGAAAGGGAAAGGAGAAACCCGATGTTAGGGTGAGTTGGTTAATTTTGATTGGGCGTGTTAATTAGGTGAGCCAAAGGAGGCTTTTGATTGCTGGATTTCAGTACTTTGTTAGCTGGACTTTTGACAGCCTCAGGAGGAAGAATAAGTGACCAAATAAGTGACCTGGGTGCCTGGCTTTAAGAATGTAATCTAATGGCTTAGCAAGGCAGAAGGAATGGGGGAAAGGCATGACCTGGCAAAGCCATGTTTGCCATGCTTGGGCCCATGTTTGCCATTCTTGGGCTTGCTAGAACCCTTGGCCATGGAAAGCTCAGGACTTCTGTGTGGGTCCTGGGCCTCAGCTGACTCTTGTTCATCTCTGCCTCTTTCTTCTTCCCTCTCTTGTGTGCCCCACCAGCCCCCGATGCTCCCTACACCCACTGGAAGCAGACCGTCTTCTACTTGGAAGACTACCTCACTGTCCGGAGGGGGGAGGAAATCTACGGGACCATATCCATGAAGCCAAATGCCAAAAATGTGGTAAGTCTGAGGGAGCCTTGCACACCAGGACCACTGAGGAGAAGGGACACGTGAATCTGACTCCTAGGGAGCTCCCAGAAGTCACCTGCCTGGTCTAATGTCTTGTGTACAAATGAGAAGCTTCTGGGGGAGGCGGGCAGTAGCTGTGCTTGCAGGTGACTGGGCCTAATTGGACGACCTCATTGTAGACTCTTCCAAATGCCAGTGGCTAGAGGCTTTCTGGACTCTGACCTCAACCTTGAGGACAGCTCCCAGAAGCTCGCAGAACTTTTGAGAACGGATGTTGCATAAATGAGCTCTGCCTCATTTAGGATGAGCTGAGCCAGTAAATGCAAGTGTCTGGAGTAGAGGGAATGTTGGTTGGGCATTTCTCCAGTTGGCCTGGTGGAACTTTTCTGAGATGTTCCTGTGTCTGCACAGACACTGAAAGCCTGCAGGATGGCTGAGGGTGATGTCAAGCCAGACCAATCACCTTCCTCAGTTATCACCTAGATGAAGGAAATCCCAGGACTGCTTTTGTGTGTGGACAGGAAGGCTTAGGTTAGCTGTCAGCGCCCTTCCTGTAAGGATAATGGGGCACTGGAATGGATTCCTGAGAACTGTGGAGACCCCTTAGCTAGAATCTCCATGACTGCCTGTCCTGGGGCTCCAGGAGAAGTCCTAGGCCTGGGAAGGGCTGTGATCTCCTCCCCAGATTCACACTGTGGCTCTTTGCTCTTTCTTCACAGCGAGACCTCGATTTCACAGTAGACTTGGATTTTAAGGGACAGCTGTGCGAAACATCTGTATCTAATGACTACAAAATGCGTTAGCACACGTGGGAAGCTGCGGAGAGCAAGCGAGAAGAGGCACTCACTTCAGTCTGCCACGCTGCCCCAAGGAACACTGTTAGGAGGACCACACTCGATAACCAGAGCTTTGCACTCTGCCTTGAAGATCGGTGAACTTGCCAGAGCTCTCCCGGGCCCCACCATGACAGGGAGCCTCCAGCTCCTCCGCTCTGCCCCGGAGCCCTTCACAAAGGCTTTGCTGTTGCCTGTTGTGTTGTGGTGGGGGCTCGGAGGATGGAAGCATACCCGTGTGCCCCCATTGTCCTCCTAAACCGACTCTATGGATCTTCCAAGTTTTGCATGCTGCAGACATCTAGGACAGATTACTTCCACTAGAACCTGGAGACGTAGTGTCTTTGATAGCATAAGCCAGATTCTCTGTTTGTGCAGTGGTGTGTGTGTGTGTGAGTGCGTATATGTATGTGTGTGTGCACTTGTGCATGCACACACATGAGTGTGTGTGCATACAGATTCTATATTAATTTACACGCCCACAAACATTTGTATATGCATGCATATACAACTAAGTGGGTATATTTGGGTGTTCATGCTGAGGTGTGTGCGTGCACGCGCGCACGCGTGTGTATGCGTATGTGTGGGTGTATGTGCCTAGACTCTATATTACTCTCAGAGGAGGTTCTGTTGCTTTTGAATAGGAATTTGTTTCGTGATTAGTTTTCCCCATCCTGATCCCTTAACAGATGTTACGCAGCTATGAAGCATTCTGTGTACTAGCTCTGGTCTCGTTTTGGCTAGACTGTGGCTCTGAATCCTGAGCGCAGTACCACGGGCTCTGTGGGCACTCAATAAACACACATGAGAACGAAGCAATACGGGATACCTGTGTTCCTGGTGCTGTGGGGCGTAAGGGTGATTGCAGGGGGCAGAGGGGGTAGCAGGAAGCCACAGTGGGTCAGAGAATTATGGAGTGACGCCCCTACTTGTGTTTGCTCATTGGAAACACATTCCATGAGAGATGCAGCTAGGAAATTGAGTCAGTTCTAGCACACCTTGCTGTGGACTGTCTAGGTCCTGCCCTGAGGGGACAAGAAGGTTCTGGAACTACGGAGGTGAGGGTGCTGGGGAGGGGGACAGGAACTGACCGATAGTGTTATATACATAGCCAGGAGACTGCTTGTAGTCTGAGGGCCCTGGTCTGAGGGTCTGACAGGGCCTTTCCAGCCCTTGTTTGAGTATGGAAACAGAATTTCCATAGGATAGAAAGACAGTGTGCTTTGCTAGGCTTGGTGGAATATTTGGTCTTTGTTTCTGAATTATTCTTTGGCCTCTGGACTATCATCTGTGTTGTCTCCATTCCAAGTGTTGGGAGGAAAGGGGTCCATTGAAAGACGGAGCCCATTGTGGAGTAATGGTGCCCAGCAGGGGTCAGATGCAGAGGGGCCTTGGGCTTGGCTCTTCATGGGAGAGGAATGTTGGCGATAGAGTGCTCCAGGTGGAGGTGGTGACAGGGACTGCATATGCCAGCGTGACCTGACTCTCCGAAAGGTTCCCGCAGTCTCCCCCAGGACCTCAGGCTCCCGTCCCCTGAGTCTTCTTCTAGAGGGGTTTTAACATTTTTCTCTACTTCCATAAAAACCAACCTAGAGAGGCTATCTATCCTAGACAGGACCAGGTTTGTGTAAAGTCTATAAAGGGTCCTCAGATAATGTCAAACAAATCCAATGGCAGTCTCTCTTTTGTTTCTAGAACTCTCTATTATGAATTTCATCAACTTCCCAAAACCTTGGAAGATAGATGCAAAAACCTCATCAGCCACTTTGTAGCCGACATGTGTTGGGACCCGGGGAGGAGCCCTCGAGTTAGTGCAGAGCAGGAGCAGGCTCCAGACTACTTCTGCAGGCCCTTCCTGGCCCTGGGCTGATTCTTCAGAGCCTTGACCTAAAGTGTGAGACTCTCATTTGTTTAGAAAAAAATAAGTGAGAAGTAGATAACCATTTAATATACATATGCCAGAGAAGTAAAATAGAGAAACTTAAGGGGAGGGCAAAACCTTGAGTTGGAAGAAGAAATTTAGTTGAAAAGGGGCATTTTGGGGACATTGGAGGGAAATCTATTAGTGGGTTTCTATTACCAAGGCTCTCAGAGAGGTCGGGTGTTCTGCCTACTGCAAGGGGCCTAGCCTTGAATCCCACTCAAGTGGGCGGGGGGGGGAATGCCTGCCAACAGGGGAAAGTCCCATACTGCCAGAAAGTACAGGAGTCAACAGGATAACCATCTTGTGGGAGCTATAGGCATCCATGATGCTATTTCATCCTTTCCAGCTGTTAGAGAAGCAGGCCATCCCAGCCTCCCCTCCTCCACCCCAGACCTCATTTTTCAGCTTCCTGAGGTTGCCTCAGACCCTATCCCGAGACCATCACTCCATCCATGAACTCCATCCACAAAGGGTTAAAATAATTACAGCTGTTTCCCCTCCTGCTACTGGGAGGCTCCGGTGGGAACTGTCTAAGCCTCTGTTTTGTTTGGGCTGTATTTTGTTGAGATTGTGTTTGTTTTGTTTTGTGATGCAGTGAAAACAAACCACATCTGCTTTGACTGTGCTCTGAACAGAAGTCGGGGTCTAAGGTCAGGTCCTGGGGTGACAGCCGAGGTGCTGCCGAGCTGATGTCACCTGAGAAGCTCACCCCGCACCCAAACTCATTGCTTTTGCTGTTGCAGAGGCTGCAGAGAGCCTATTAGCGGTTTTCTCTCCTATCACTCTTCTAGAGAACTCATAAGCATGGATCTGCAGTGCCTCTTTTGTCATTGTGCGATGGAGTGGGCCACTGGGCACGCTCCGAAGACCAGGCTTGGAAGCTCCCCCCGCCCCCCTGCCCAGCCAGACTACAGGCTCTGGGGACGGGACTGCTGTGAATGAAGAGAGTATAGAGCTGGGGCATCAGATCAGCAGCAGAGCCCAGCAAACCCCCACTCCACGCAATGTTCCCATGGGCCTGTCCAGGTCCTAGGCCTTCCAGTTCCTCTACATTTTCTTTACTTTCATAAGTAAGGTGGTCCATGGAGGCCATTTTCCCTGGAAACTATGGGCAGATACGAAGCTTATGCCCAGGCCTACCCAGGCTCTACCTCTCTATCTCTCCTCTCATGCTAACCCTGGCACTCTTTCTATGAGCACTGCCCACCTCCAGACCTCAGCAATGGTATGGAATGTCCCCAGGTATCTCAGCCCATACATAGTGACTGGAATATGGTCTGTCTCCAGCAAAACTTGTGTGAATGCTTGGTGCCTAGTGAGACAGAGCCACATGGTAGGTCTCAGTGGGACAGTTTCGCGATGGGACTACAGCTCCCGGGAGTGGACCGGTGCTTTTCTCATGCCGGCGAGTCCTCACTCACTGAACTGGGTGGTTACAATGGATCTGACTGTGCAAAACAGGATGGAGGATGGCCACTCACCCCCTCATCCCACCCTCACCCCTGCTTGTTCTTGTGCTGTCCTGCGTCAACATGGAGTCCCTGCCTACACCATGGACATCCTAGGTCACAGAACCTCAAGCCAAAATCAATCAATCTCTCTCTCTCTCTCTCTCTCTCTGCATTGCCCAGTCTCAAGTATTTTGTTATAGCAACAGAAAGGGACTGAGATACCATCCCTGGGCCATGTTCAACTTGCTTGGAGTCCATCCCCAGCCTGGAGGCCAGTTTGAACCACTGATAACGACTTGTCCTATCTTGATCACCTGTCTCAGCTATGCCCCACCCCAACCCCCACCTCACAGAGCCTAAGAACTCTCCAATATGTTCATAAAATACTTTTTTTTCTAAGATCCTCGACAATTCCAGCCTGCTTTAAGAAGCCTTCTTTCTAAAGAAACATTATTCTTGATCCTCGCTACCTGTCTGTATGGGACCTGCTCTTCAGATGTCCTATTTCTGAGGACAGCCCTACTTGGTTGTGGGGTGGCAGAGGGGATAGGTTGCCTTATACCGTTGGGCAATCAACTACCCTGCTAAACGCTGGGTCTCTTATCTTGTGACTTCCAAGGGAAGCCTGACTTCCAAGGATTGTGGTCTGTTCACGATCAGGGGCTTCCAAGGTCTCTGACCAGAAGGAAGCCACCAGCTTACACTCAGCAAAGACTCAGACACTGCGTATCTACTAATCAAAGGACGATCCAAGCAACAGTTACTGGATAATGGGCCTGAATAGGATGCCTGAACCCCCAGAGTCAACACACACTCCATGGAACTCCCTCCCCGTGTTAGTCTCGGATAGATTTGATTAGCTCCTGTCCAAATACTGAGAAATGAGGTCACTCGGCTTTCCTTCATGCTGGCTTCACTGAGTCCCCTAGGTCTGTGAACCCCCTGCCACCCCCAGTCTGTGAGTGTACTCAGCTCTCAGCCCCTGGGCAGGACAGGTGTGAGGCACACTTCCTTAACGTATTCTTTATCTTTGTCACTGCAGCGGCAAAGCACCGGGCCGAGGCAACTTAGGGAAGGGTTTCTTCTGGCTCACATTTCTAATGGACAGCTTATCATGGTAGGAACGTGGTGGTGGGGGTGTGAACATGGCGCCGGACATGGTGGCAGGGGTGTGAACAATTCTTCATGGCAGGGGACACAGTGGCAGGGGTGTGAACAGTTTTTCATGGTGGGGGACACAGTCGCAGGAGTGGGAACAGTTCATCACGGCAGGGGAGACACCGTGGCGGGGGAGACACCATGGTGAGGGTATGGGCTGACTGGCCACACTGCCTCCTCAGTCAAGCATGGGGCATGTATGCTGGCACTCTGCTTGTTTTTTCACCTTTACTCATCCCAGACTCCGGTCCATAAGATGATGCTACTCACATTGAGGCTGGGTTTCCCTGCTTCAGTTAAATCTTTCTGGAAATAACCTTAAAGACACAGCAGAAATAAATTCTCGCAGCTGATCCTGAATCTAGCCAGGTTGACAGTGAAGATCCACCCTGAGACACCCCTCATCTCATTCAGCAGGCCTTCGGAAACAAAGGGGGAACATGCTCAGATCACCCCATGATCCCTAGAGTTCATGGCCCAGCTCATCGTTTAGCGACTCACCATGATTCTATACACCAGCAATAGGCCATTCCTCACAACACATGTGCCAAAGCACCTGTATCGAATGTCTGCCAGCACCTTAGGCCCAGGACAGCCAGAGCAAGCAGAGAATCCTCTCTGTTGTCCCCATTTCTGATGGTAGCCATTAGTTGATGGACAACCCTGCCCAGGACACGAGCCAAAGGACCCTGCACTGCTGCTGACTGCTGAAGTGGCTTCTAGAAAGTCACCATTCACCTCGTGACTCTAGAGCAATGGTTCTCAATCTCCCTAATACTGGAACCCTTTAATATAGTTCCTCCTGTTGTGGAGACCCCCCCAACCATAGAAGTATTTGTTGTTACTTCATAACTGTAATTTTTCTACTGTTAAGAATCTCAGTGTAAATATCTGTGTTTCTTAATGGTCTTAGGCTGCCACTGTGAAAAGGCCATTTGATCCCTAGGGGGGTTTGGCCCACAGGTTGAGAATCCCTGCTCTAGAGCTTCACCCTTGACAAAGAAGTTGGCCAAAGATGGGAAGAAATCATATAAAGCATTCCTGGAGCTCCAAAGGTAAAGAAAACTCCAGGTGTCCCCACTGTCCTGATAGAGATGACACGTGATATCACATTCTGCTACCCAATACACGCTGGATGCCAGTCCTGAGGCCTAGGCTCATCAGGGCTGAAAGGGCATTAGGCATTGCAGACACCACTTTGATCAGTGACAGCTGAGGTCCCAGGCCTGCAGCGCTGGCCTAGAGTTGGGGTTGGTATTATAGAGAGAACCAGAGCTCTGAA